CATAGTTGATCCAGAGGAAGGCAAAAAAACCCTTCTAAAGCATGGTACAATTTGCTCCACCAGGGAAAAATTTCCTTCCTGATCCCCTTCTCAATCAGATCTCCCATGGATTAAGAATCATTGTGTTATTACTTAGAAGACTTTATGAACACAGCAGTACAGGCGAAATACAACGTGCAAAGCTGCGCAATTAATCTCCTGGTCTGTACGGTGCTTTACACAACCATCGTTGCACCTCTGCGTACAGCTGCATCTTCTAATGCAGGGGTCTTCCAAACTTTCTAAACATAGGGCCAGTTTACTGTTCATCAGACTTTCAGGAGGCCGGACTGTGGCTATTGGGAGTAGAAATTGTCCCGGCTTCAGTGGGAGCAAACAACGCATCTTTGGAAGGGGAGGAATAGTGTCCCTTCATTGGTGGGAGGAATAGTGCAAATTGTTGGTGTCAGCGGGAAGGAATAGTGCCCAGTTGTGTCAGTGGGAGAAATAGTGCCCCATCATTGGTGTCAATTTGAGCAATAGTGTCCCACTGTTGGTGTAATTGAGGGGAAATAGTGTCCCATCGTTGGAGTCGGGTGGCAGGAATAGTGTCCTATTGTTGGTGTCAATGGGGAGGAATAGTGCCTCATCATTGGTATTAGTGGCAGGAATAGTGCCCCATCATTGGTGTCAGTGGGAGGAATAGTGCCCCATCATTGGTATCAGTGGGAGGAATAGTGCCCCATCATTGGTATCAGTGGGAGGAATAGTGCCCCATCATTGGTATCAGTGGGAGGAATAGTGCCCCATCATTGGTATCAGTGGGAGGAATAGTGCCCCATCATTGGCATCAGTGGGGGGAATAGTGCCCCATCATTGGCATTAGTGGGGGGGAATAGTGCCCCATCATTGGTATCAGTGGGAGGAATAGTATCCCATCATTGGTATCAGTGGGAGGAATAGTGCCCCATCATTGGTATCAGTGGGAGGAATAGTGCCCCATCATTGGTATCAGTGGGAGGAATAGTGCCCCATCATTGGTATTCTTGGGGGGAATAGTGCCCCATCATTGGTATCAGTGGGGGGAATAATGCCCCATCATTGGTATCAGTGGGAGGGATAGTGCCCCATCATTGGCATTAGTGGGGGGAATAGTGCCCCATCATTGGCATTAGTGGGGGGAATAGTGCCCCATCATTGGTATCAGTGGGGGGAATAGTGCCCCATCATTGGTATCAGTGGGAGGAATAGTGTCCCATCATGGATATCAGTGGGAGGAATAGTGCCCCATCATTGGTGTCAGTGGGAGGAATAATGCCCCATCATTGGTATCAGTGGGAGGAATAGTGCCCCATCATTGGTATCAGTGGGGAGGAATAGTGTCCCATCATTGGTGTCAGTGGGAGGAATTGGTAGTGCCCCATCATTGGTATCAGTGGGAGGAATAGTGCCCCATCATTGGTATCAGTGGGAGGAATAGTGCCCCATCATTGGTATCAGTGGGGGGAATAGTGCCCCATCATTGGTATCAGTGGGGGGAATAGTGCCTCATCATTGGTCATCAGTGGTGGGGGAATAGTGCCCCATCATTGGTATCAGTGGGAGGAATAGTGCCCCATCATTGGTATCAGTGGGAGGAATAGTGTCCCATCATTGGTATCAGTGGGGGGAATAGTGCCCCATCATTGGTATCAGTGGGAGGAATAGTGTCCCATCATTGGTATCAGTGGGAGGAATAGTGCCCCCATCATTGGTGTCAGTGGGAGGAATAGTGTCCCATCATTGGTATCAGTGGGGAGGAATAGTGCCCCGTCATTGGTATCAGTGGGGGGAATAGTGCCCCATTGTTGGAGTCATTGGAAGGAATAGTGCCCCTGAGTTGCTGTCAATGAGAGAAATAGTGCCTCATTGTTGATGTCAGTAGCAGTAATTATGTTCCATTTTTGGTGGGAGGAAAGGAATAGTGTCTTGTATCAGTGGGAGGAAAAAGTGCCCCGAGGGCCAGATAAAGTCTAGCAAAGGGCCACATCTAGCCCCCAGGCTGCAGTTTGGAGACCACTGTTGTAATGCATCTCAATAGCTGGCAGTGGGAGTCAGCTGTGGGTCCCAGCTATGTAATTATGCATGCTCTGCTGTATGGTCCTTGTGCATGCACCCTAAATGTATGTGCATCAGCAATTAAAGGGATGAGCGGAGAATGGCACAGTGCTGAGTGACTAAACTGGAAACTCAGCGTTTACTGTATATGCAATAGGCAGATATGGCATACCCTAGTAAATGCAAAATCAAAATGTATGATTGTTGATTTTGATATTATTCATATATATATATATTAAGATGAACTCAGGGTACTTCTATAACTTAGAATTGATTTATGGGATCCATTTTAAAATACTGAAAGCTTTGTAGGTCTGTTCAGCTAGCCTTGCAGTCATAACACTTCATCCTACGCTGCTTCATCAACCTCAGTACACTGTCATCATCACCCTGCTCTCTCCTCCTGCCTGCCAGTATAATCCCTGTCAATGCATGTGCCTGCAGTACCAGTGGGGCCCTTCCTTCTCTCTTATATCAAGGCAGATTCAGACACTTACACTAGCTACGTGTTTTAATACCTACATAATGATATTGACTGGTGTTCATCTGTATGCTAGGCACATTCCCACATACAGAAAGGCTGGAAGTATTCCCATATTGTAATGTGGTATTCTGATCAGACATGACCCTGGCTGTGGTTGCTGTCAGATGGACTTCTGACCTCAGCTAGCTTTGGGACAACAGTCCTTGTGTGTCTATAGAAGTGTCCAGAATAAGGAAGGCGCTCTTTAGTAGGAGAGCCTGCCGGCAGAGAATGAAGGCAGCATTGTTCTCTTCGCACTAATTGGCCCTTCTTCAATACCAGAGGCTACAGCCGCCTAAAAGGGCACAGAAAGCTGGCCGCCAGCGCATTGTACAGCCTCACGCTGGGCGTTGTTTATGGTGGGCCGCTGTGTTTCAGTGTGTTAATAAAGCCTGGAAGGTGGAAGCAGGAGGAAAACACACTTCACAGCTCAAACCCACTTCTGTTTTCAGGATGATTATTAACACATTCACAGCAGTCCCTGTCCATAAAGACGTTTGCAGCAAATATCCCCCAGCAAAGTCATACTTTATGTACATAATCATAGATTGCTTGGATTGGATGACCATGCAGTTTTTCTGGGGACCTGCAGACACCCCCATCCAGGGGCGGACTGACCATTTGGAAACTCGGGCACTGCCCGAGGGCCCAGGGTCAGTAGGGGGCCCCATGAGATGCCCCTGGTACCTTTTTCATAGGCTTTTTTGAGTTTGGGCAAGGACACAGGAGCCCCATGATCCCCTATTGCCCGGGGGCCCCCATGAGTTGTCAGTTTGCCCCTGCCCCCATCGCTAGGAAATAGTATGCAGTCGGCTGCAAGAGTTTTCTCAGCAAGGCAAGAGCTATAATCTGGCCACAGACGGTGCAATCTGATTATACTGTAGATTCATCAACATCTATGAAATAAAAAGGCCCACCTGAAGAATTTTCACCTTCCACTTTATATCTACTTCAGTAGGCTCTTGTAATTTCGGTCTGTTGGTAATTCTAAAGGAGATTGTACCACTGGATTGCAAAATATGGAAAATTGGATGTGCCCTTAGATATGAGATCATAGAGGTCTAATCTGTTTTTGGCTAGATGGTATAACAATGTCATGTCTGTGGATTTCCACCAATGCCTGACATACAATCAGATCACCGATTGCATTCGTTTATTTATCTGATAAGGAATACAGTGGAATTTGTGGGAATATCTCCAAACCACAACCATTGCTGGTAGGGAAATTCTTCTGCAGGAAACCCCAAGAAATATAAAAAGGTGCTCTCCTTCCCACAGAAAACATTGTCTATATAAATTAAAATAAGAGCAGATAGTCTTGTTGGCTTCATTTCCAAACTATGCTGGAATGCAGCAGGCGTATGGGAAACCCTGACCAACAGCTTAGCTGAGACCATCATAAACACACAGCCACCCTCTTGCCCATTTACTACCACTGTGAGTATCCAGCAGGGGCGGACTGACCATTTGGAAACTCGGGCACTGCCCGAGGGCCCGGGGTCAGTAGGGGACCCCATGAGATGCCCCTGGACCTTTTTCATAGGCTTTTTAGAGTTTAGGCAAGGACACAGGGGCCCCATGATCCCCTATGGCCCGGGGGGACCCATGAGTTGTCAGTCCTCCCCTGGTATCCAGATAGTAACTGCTCACTTCCTAAGAAGCAGGGGTTTTGGGGGGAGGGGGATGGCAGGACACCCACAGGTGAGAGTGGCGTTCCACATCTTTCACCTACTGCTTCCCTCCACTCCCCTCTAATACCCCACGGCCCTACCCAAGTTGACTGACTTTCCTACCCCCCCTTCTCATTTAGTCAACCCCCCCTTTCTTCCCCTTTTTTTTTTTTCCCCCCATTTACTTCCTTCTGCTTCCTCCCTCCCTCTTCTTCCCTGCTCCTTCCCTCCTACTGTTCCCTTCCAGGTTTCCTTTTCTATTCCTTCCCTGAGATTTTCTCTCTCTCTTGGTCAGACTGCCTTGGTGGAGGCTGACGACCAGACTACCAACCTCTTCTTTCATATATGTACCGTACCGGACTTCTGCAGTTCCCCCACTGCATTGGGACTCTGGCTGATGGCATGATATCCCATGTCCTGAAAACCTCTCCTATACATGTTTGACCTTGGTTATTATACTCATGCTTCTTAATTAGTCTATACCCTCTCACTCTATGTATGCAACTCTTAAGCATTGTTCCTCTTCAAGACTAGATGTAATGCAAGGTATTATTGGGAAAATTTACTTTCCATTCTCTTTCCTGTTCATTTGTTGTAATGTTGACTATGGCCTTCTGGGCCCTCTCTCTTGTAATTGTCCTTTTTTAACAAAATCTTTGTAGAACCAAAAAAAAAAAAAAAAAAAAAAATAAGAGCCGATGAAATGTATAAACTCTTTGGTTTTTCTGCAGGAACCTACCAGGGCCAGTTTGGAAATGGAATCCGTGAAGGCTATGGTGTACGTCAGAGTGTTCCATATGGAATGGCAGCAGCTGTCCGAAACCCCTTACGTACCTCCTTGACCTCCCTCCGCAGTGAACACAGCAATGGGACATTGGCTCAACATGATGCCATATCCCCCTCACCAGACAACATTGTGTGCTCCACCATCACCAGAGGAGGCTTTGCCCTCTCCCTCTATGCAGACCCCGAAGTTCTCAAGGCACAGAAGAAAGGGCTTTTCAGAAGAGGGTCTCTTCTGGGTAAACTGAGGAGATCTGAATCTAAGTCCTCACTTTCATCCCAAAGAAGTAAACTGAGCTTTCTGAAAAGTGTGAGTGGGATGAGCTCCGGAGCTAGTGATGCCACCTCAACTGTGAGCTTTGGTGATGGGACGGAAGGGGAAGAATTTCCACCAATGGAAGCAGATATTGATGCCACCACTACTGAGCTCTATATGGGGGAATGGAAGAAAGACAAGAGGTCCGGGTTTGGAATCAGCGAGCGCTCCAGTGGTCTGAAGTATGAAGGAGAATGGCTGGACAACCTGAGACATGGCTATGGGTGTACCACCTTTCCAGATGGATCAAAGGAAGAAGGAAAATACAGGAACAACGTTTTAATTAAAGGGATGAAGAAGAGGGTGATCCCCTTAAAGAGTGCCAAAATCAGACAGAAAGTGGACAGAAGTATTGAAGGGGCCCAGAGAGCGGCAGCCATAGCAAAACAGAAATCAGAGATTGCTGCGTCCAGGTAAGATCGAATGTTAGTCCTGCCAAGAAAATTATTTCACATATTCTAAGACAACCTGAACGTAAAAAGATTGTCAACTTTATCCATACAGGTATCCAAACTCTTTCTTAATCCCTGGCCAACACAGCATAACATACATTACGTATAATACAATATATATAAAAATGGTGCATAATGGTGGGATGGCAGCTTAGCATTGGTGTGTCATAGCCATTGAGTCCTGCCTTTCCCTGCTTCCTGAGAACATCAGCAGCTGCCAAGTCCTACAGGCACATCAGTTTTTATGGTGGCTGTTCTGTGAGGCACACTGATAAGTGAATATACAGGACAGGAGTGACATTAGAGTATCTTATATGGCTGGGTGGAGGAAGTCAGTAGAGCCGATTTGAACAGCAGCAGTCAGAGAGGATTTCAAAGCTGCAGATAACAACAGTCTGGTCCATTCTGTATCTCATTATAGCTTTGTTTCGTTAACCCACATTATAATTTGGTAATTTGGTGATTGATGACGGAAGAAGGAAGAAAGGAAGAAACACAGCACGTTTCAGGAAATAGACTTCCAGTGACCCTGTGAGGTGCCTTCTGCATACTGGCTCCAGAAAACTTAATATGAATCGAATTACCCCTCTGTATGTTTTACTTGCCAAAGGATATGTAGTATTGGCCGACCATTCTTCTCATACATACATCTCCATTAAGCTGGCCATACACTAATCAAAATTCAGTCGGCCCCTACTGGACCAGCTGAATTTCGATCAGTGTGTGGCCTGCTCAACAAAAGTCAATTATTTAAATCGACTTTTATTGAAGGGACATGTTGAAACATTTCCATCAATCAGTGGTTGCAGACCAATCAGTTGCAGTCACTGGTCAGTGTATTCTGACAGCCAAGGGTGCTTCTGTCAGTTTACAATATCCTGGTGGGCGGTTGTGTGGATAGAGGAACCTTTTTTTTTTCCCTTTGGGCCACTGTGCTTGGCTTTAACAACATGTATCTAAAACCACTGAAAAAATATTCTAGTTTCTATAGGGTCCAACACCAAACTATTCAGATAGGAGGCGCACAAAATGGTCTAGTACAGTTTGTTGGCCAATTGTAAAAACACATGTCCGAGTACCAAGGCTACTTATTCTGTAAGGGTTCCCATACCCATTTAGTAAGCATGCATTGGAATGGGGAAGGGTGGGGGGCATCTTTACCCATGCTGACTTTTTATACTGCAGGAAAGTTTTTACTATAGGCCGGGTACTGATGTCCAATCCATTATAACAACCCAGCCTTGTACTATAGGCCAGGTACTGACGTCCAACCCTTTACAACACTCCACCCTTGTACTATAGGCCAGGTACTGACGTCCAACCCTTTATAACACTCCCCCTTGTACTATAGGCCAGGTACTGACATCCAACCCTTTATAACACCCCACCCTTGTACTATAGGCCAGGTACTGATGTCCAACCCTTTATAACACTCCACCCTTGTACTATAGGCCAGGTACTGACGTCCAACCCTTTACAACACTCCACCCTTGTACTATAGGCCAGGTACTGACGTCCAACCTTTATAACACTCCACACCTTGTACTATAGGCCAGGTACTGACATCCAATTCTTTATAACACCCCACCCTTGTACTATAGGCTAGGTACTGACGTCCAACCCTTTATAACACCCCAGCCTTGTACTATATGCCAGGTACTGACGTCCAATCCTTTATAACACCCACCCTTGTACTATAGGCCAGGTACTGATGTCCAATCCTTTATAACACCCCACCCTTGTACTATAGGCCAGGTACTGATGTCCAATCCATTATAACAACAAAGCCTTGTACTATAGGCCAGGTACTGATGTCCAACCTTTATAAACACCCCACCCTTGTACTATATGCCGGGTACTGATGTCCAATCCTTTATAACACCCCACCCTTGTACTATAGGCCAGGTACTGATGTCCAATCCTTTATAACACCCCACCCTTGTACTATAGGCCAGGTACTGATGTCCAATCCATTATAACAACCCAGCCTTGTACTATAGGCCAGGTACTGACGTCCAACCCTTTATAACACCCCAGCCTTGTACTATACGTCGGGTAGTGATGTCCAATCCTTTATAACACCCCATCCTTGTACTATAGGCAAGGTACTGATGTCCAATCCTTTATAACACCCCACCCTTGTACTATAGGCCAGGTACTGATGTCCAATCCTTTATAACACCCCACCTTTGTACTATAGGCCAGGTACTGACGTCCAATCCTTTATAACACCTCACCCTTGTACTATAGGCTAGTGGCCAACATCCAATTCTTTAGAATATCCCAGCCTTGTACTTTCAGGCTGGGTAATGAGATCCAATCCATTATAACACTTGCACTGTCAGCCATGTCCATACTGGGGATGTTCAGATGAAGTTATGCAAGAGACACTTCTTGTACTGTTTGAAGAAAACAGAGCGTTCCCCCGTGCTGACGAAGAGCAGACCATGTAAACCGCTTGTGTAAACTCTCCAATGTGCTCTTCAGGAACAAAGCCTGAACTTGTATTCTGTTTTCCCCACTGCTCCGATCACCTCTGGGTGAAGTATCCCTGTGTAAGCTCTGGACAGAGCTTACATGGGGCTGAAAACTGTGTCCCTGCTCCTGATGTGGCAGCATTGGGCCAATCAATGCTGTGACACAACAGGAAGCGCAGTGGGTCATATGATCCCTATACTTCTTTGCTCCTGGTAGCTGCATAAAACAGCAAAGGAGCAAAGGGTAGATACGTAGGTACTTTTCTGAGAAAGGGGCATTAAAGAGAACCTATCATTTGCCTTAAAGTTGTTGTAAACCATTACATATACCCAATGAAGTGACTGGTCTTAGGTGATACACAGAGATGAAACAAATCCTCCTACATAAGTTGTACCTGTCTGTCTTCTCTCTACATCCATTCAAAGTGCTGAATTTGTACAGCTTGTCTGAGAGTTCAGAAAACGGGGGCAGAGAGCTGAACTTACACACTGCAAAGCTCAGTAAGGAGAGCTTTGAGAGCTGATTGGATGGAAGAGACACACCCAGGGGCGGACTGACAACTCATGGGGCCCCCGGGCAATAGGGGATCATGGGGCCCCTGTGTCCTTGCCCAAACTCAAAAAAGCCTATGAAAAAGGTACCAGGGGCATCTCATGGGGCCCCCTACTGACCCCGGGCCCTCAGGCAGTGCCCGAGTTTCCAAATGGTCAGTCTGCCCCTGGACACACCCCTTCCACACACCTCACAGGAACAGAGCCCAGGCTGTCGTCCTGCTAAAGGTCCCTTCTCTGTCACCATTATTCTCTTGGTGTCAGGAAAACTTGTAAGAAGTGATTCTTGCCAATAGCAGAGGAAGGAGGCATCAGACAGAAATGACACTTATTGCTCTTAACTGAGACAAGTACACACTACAGAGGGATATGCTTTGTTCATATTTCGTGTCTGAGGTTTACAACCACTTTAATGAAGTTAATTTGCAAATATTTGCCTTTCCCCTTTTATCAACATACTTATACAGATATTAAATAAACCTGTTTAATTACATACCTTTTTATACCCATTTGTGTCATCACTGGGACTCTGCACTTCTCTTTGCAATAGAAGCAGATAATGACAGGTGGAAGGGGCCAGTAGGGTGCTCCAGAAAAACTAAAAGCTGTGGTAATGCCCACATGTCATGCTGAGCCTCCATGATTGAAAAATCTGAAATCCAATGAATAAAATGGGTACGCCAGGGTGGGGAGTGAAAGAGCTAGATCTCAGATTGGCAGTTCTAATGAGCCGGGCCCTTTGTTTCCTCTTGTACCGAATTGTATTGTAACTGTAATGTCTACCTTCATTTTGTAAAGTGCTGAGCAAACTGTTGGCGCTATATAAATCCTGTATAATTTATTTATTTCAGGTGCCTATATAGCGCTGTCAATTTACGCAGCGCTTTACATATATATTGTACATTCACATCAGTCCCTAACCCTCAAGGGGTGTACAATCTAAGGTCCCTAACTCACATTCATACATACACATACTAGGGCCAATTTAAACAGGAGCAAATTCACCTACCAGCATGTCTTTGGAGTGTGGGAGGAAACCAAATTACCCGGAGGAAACCCACGCAGGCACAGGGAGAACATGCAAACTCCAGGCAGGTGGTGCCATGGTTGGGATTTGAACTGATGACTCTAGTACTGCCAGGTGGAAGTGCTAACCATTTAGCCACTGTGCTAATTAAGCAGGTTCTATCTGCAACTCCTAATGAATACTGTCAGAAGCTCACAGTGTGCAGTGAAATCAGAGTACGCCATACAGGAGAGGACCCTGTACAACTGTGCAAGACTGAAGGGAAGGCTGGAACAGGGGCGGACTGACCATTTGGAAACTCGGGCACTGCCCGAGGGCCCAGGGTCAGTAGGTCTACCAAAAAGGTAGTCACCCCCTTTATGGCCTCTTTAGTCTTCCATGGGAGCACCTGAGTGGAACACGTTTCTGTACCTAAGGCCTTGTTCACACCGGAGCGATTTGTAACTTCAATGAAAACAACTCAACCTTCCAATTTCCATTCAATGGTGCCCATTTTGTCCAAAAACATTCAAAAAATGTGTAGCTCCATTGTAAATGATGCCTAATACATGGTGACCATGGCGAAATCTGGGGGCACCCTACTGACCACGCCAGGGGCGGACTGACCATTTGGGGCCCCCGGGGTCAGTAGGGGGCCCTATGAGATGCCCCTGGTACCTTTTTCATAGGCTTTTTTGAGTTTGGGCAAGGACACAGGGGCCCCATGATCCCCTATTGCCCGGGGGCCCCATGAGTTGTCAGTCCGCCCCTTGGCTGGAATCAGCTTTAAGTTGCCTCTCTGTATTTATAAGAAAAGCTAACACTAGCCATATACTAGTCGAAAAATTGTTAAAAAAGGAACACATGGTCGTGAGAGCAAATGACATTGCCGTCGTGTAATGACCGATTTTTGAGCAATAAATATGGACA